TTTTTTTTTTTTTTAACTAAAAAATATCTTAAAATTCCCCTGTGTCTTAATATGCCATATGTAGTTTTAAAATTCACAATAGTCGGCCAAAATTAGCTACCTGGCAACTCCTATTAGTTTAGACTTTATAGTAACTTTCATATACCTATTGTCATTATTTAAAAGGCTATTATGCAGACTTAAAGTGTCATCATTGATAATATTAATTTCCTCACATTTAATGTTAGTACTTTGTTTCACTAAAATTATATGCAATAAATTCAAATTATATATTTGTAAAATATATTTGTTTTATTAATATTTTTCTTGTGATAACTTTCGGTTGCATTGGTATAAATACAATCAGAATTTTTATATCTTAATTATTCCACTAAGACATTTACAAGACGCAGGTTGTACAGATCATATAAAGGAAAATTTTTGACTGAATTTTTTTAATGGTAACTGTACTGTTTTGCTCAATTGTAATAATTGCTTGATTTTTATTTTGTTTTCTTACCTTTGGATATAATAAAGTTTTTATAGGCTCGTGTTCTTTTTTTTTCCTTATTATTTTTCGTTTAATTGTAATCATGGCTTGTTTAACCAAAATGCTACCTAATAAATAAAGCCAAGGCTTTACTAATAATTTTGCTAATTTTTTTTCTTGATTTGCCCTGTTCAAATTGGGGTGTGTCTTATACACCATCAAATACAGTAATTGTACTTATACAGTAGAGGAAATTATTTGAAAGAATAAGTGAGCCATGTTGAATACAGACAATACTGGTCAGGGAATTAAAAGAAATAATTTATGGCATCAGTTCTCAATTTGGTATTTACGCTGATGGCACAACTATTTTTCCTGTCTTAATAGTAAATCTGATCAGTTCGATAAAGTTAAATTGGTAGTTGATTTTAAAAAAATGATCTAGATTCTGTGTAAGGAATGGCTTGTTAATTTTAACACCTCCAAAATGAAACTGTTTCCTTTTAATTGTCTGAAAGAACCCTTTTACCTTCAATCAGATAGCTATCAGATGCTAACCACCAGGAGAGTGACTCATTGTGCCTTCTCAAACTAACATTTTCTGCTGACATGAAGTGGAAAGACTATATTAAATCAATTTCTAGGTCTGCTGCTAGGAAAGCTAGTTCCCTGTGTTATGCTAGACAGTTTTTTTCTTGCCAGAAACTGTTACATATTTATAACTCATAAATTTATGAATAAAAAATTGTTTCCATATTTATTTCTTTATAAATTAGTAAATGATAAATATTGTATTAGTTTTTAGAATATCATAAATATAAAATTATATTGTAAATTAAAACTTAATAAATAATGTTTAATACTTTTAATAAATCTAATTAAAGTTAATAAATTTAATAAATAATATTGATAAATAAAAATTTAATAAATTTACTTAAATTTAATAAATAAATAATATTGATAAATAAATATAATACTAATGTATAAATAATTTAATAAATTAATGTATTTATTTATGTATGTATTTAATAAATTTAATGTATTTATTAACACAGTTATTTCACATATTTTTATAACTTAGTAAATGTGTATAAATTTATGAATAAAAAAATTGTTTTCATATTTATTTCTTTATAAATTAGTAAATGATAAATATTGAATTAGTTTTTAGAATTTCATAAATATAAAATTATATTGTAAATTAAAACCTAATAAATGTGTTCAATATTTTTAGTAAATTTAATAAATAATATTGATAAATAAATATAATATTAATTAATAAATAAATAAATAATTTAATAAATTTACTGAAATTTTAATAAATAATATTGATAAATAAATATAATACTAATAAATAAATAAATAATTTAATAAATTTAATAAATACATAGTTATTTCACATATTTTTATAACTTAGTAAATGTTTATAAATTTATGAATAAAGAATTGTTTCCATATTTATTTCTTCATAAATTGGTAAATGATAAATATTGCATTGTATTAGTTTTAATTGTATTGATTTTTAGAATGTTGGAAATATAAAATTATTCTTCTAATTAAACAAGCTATTAAATAAATAGTTTTTAATATTTTTGTTATAAATTTTCAATAACAAAATAAATGTATTAGTTCACTTTCATCATATGTTTAGGTTTATTAAAATTTTAATCATCACTTTTTTTAAAACATTGCCAAGGAGTGAAAGTAGTTAAAATAATAGTGGTATCAAGTTTGCTGGATATATATATATATATAATTTTTTTCCTCCCCACCATTGATCTCTTTGGTTTGGGATTAATGAATATAATAATAATAATAAAAAAATTTCATATGTTGGCAAGTTTAGAGGACAATCTGACTTCCATTTTTGAAATTGCCCACGTTAACATCTTTTTCTCATCCTCTAGAAAATGTGAGTTATTCACCATCTTTGATTCTTTTTAAGCACCCCTCTGCCTTTCACCTCCCAGATAGTCTGTCTAGATTGGAATCTCTTGGAAGGCAAATGACTACAGATTGGATTAGTTTGAAATTACCAAGATCAAATCTATTCTTCTACACCCACTGCTCCACCACCATAGCCCCCATATCAAATCTGATCTGGGATTCCCCAAGAATAGAAAGTATAATAGCTGTGGGGGCGAAGAGTGTCTTGAGTATTTGCAAAAGATGATGGTAATAATGGTAGTGTGTCTGACTTGCTGATTGTATGAGAATACAATCCACTAGAAATACTGACGTATTCTCCTCCCTCCCCCTCTTGTAAACTGCTTATGTAATCTCTGCTATATTGAGTAGATTTATAAAATCTATCAAAACTTGTCTTTCACTCCAAGGATTATGTATTGTTTGCCACTATGATAAATTCTGACAATATCAAGGGTGGTGGGAGATAACTTAAACACTAATCAGGTTATGTTTCGGTGCCAACTACATTTAAATATGACATATATATAATAATAATTAAAAACAAATATAGTCTTAAGGACTGCTATATTAATGGATAAAAGTGATCAATATTAGAGCTAGAGCATATGTAAATAGAAAGTGGACACTGGTTTCAACACCAACTGGCAACAGTCTGTTTCATGTTTGAACACAATCTTCAGGCCCAAAGGTTACAGTCAAGCATGAAACTGATTGTCACCACTTGGTGTTGAAATCTGTGTGTGTGTGTGTGTGTATATATATATATATATATATATATATATATATATATATATATATATATATATATATATATTGTTGTAATTAAATGTTCCACATTCCCTATCACCTATGTGGATTGACTATATCAGTGTGTATATGTATATATATATCTATAAAAAGAATACCCGCTCGGCCCGGTGGCTAGGATCAAAGTGTAGTATCTGCGCTTTGTGAGTTGTCGGTGTCTGTCAAACTCTCTGCTTGCCGAAGGGTAGGGTTTCGTTGGGGGAGGTTGATGGAACTGGCCCGCCTCGTCGGGTTTGGATGGTTATTTATTTTTGGCTGGGCCTACGGGCTCAGAGATACCCACATTAAAAAGGCCTTGTGTCACATTCAATCCCCGTGGGTGGATTGATAAATACCATATATATATATATATATATATATATATATATATATATATATATATATATATGTGTGTGTACAGGATATACCTGGCGACTTGATTAGAGAATTACTAGCCTGGTAACCGATTCATTGTCTTTCAGTAGTGTATTCTCTTTTACAATAAACTTCTTTCTCTTTCATCTAAGCCTGTGTTGCTGTTCCTTTCACTCTAGTACCACCTTTGTCTGTTTGTAACCTCTTTAAGGATACTTTACGTCCTGCTGCCCACAGACTATACAGATACTCTATTGCTCTTTTACTGCTTCTCTTTATTTACTATCTTTTATTTGTTTATAAAATATTCATGCTGGGGATGTTTTAAAAAAAAGTGATTAAATAACAAATTTAAGATTAATATTTCCCAGGATTTTATTCATTTTAAAATTGGTGTTGTGGGAGATGTCAGTGTCCAGGAATTAATGCAAGCATTACTGACAGAATTAAAAAAATAAAATTTATATACATGCAAGATGTGGCAAAAGTAACATACTTTTTTATTTATTAACTTTTATTGAACAAAAATAAATTATAGTAGTTTAAGATGGCTTAACTACAGCTTAACGAGAATGGTTAAATCTTAATTTCAAGCTGAGGTGAATAAGTCGACATGGAGCAATTGAATGTCCGTCATGATCACCAGATCTAACATCAACAGAGTGTTTTGGAAGATCTTCTTTAAAGGTTCACATCGAAAACAATTCCTGAATTAAAACAAGCAATTTCTGGTAAATTTTCTGAAATTAATATAGAAATGTGTTAAATGGTGTTACTGAGACTGTTTAGTTTTGTATTGGACATTTAGGGGAGTATTTTGAACATGTTAAGTAGTTTTTTTAATCATAACAAATCATGTTGTTTTGATCTGACAATATCAATATAAATTTTCTTAAATTACTCTAATTTATTTTTGTTGTGTAGAAAGATGACTTTCTCTACACTAATTGTTAAACATTGATTCGTCCATCCATTATGAGTAGCATGTCTGCTTATAGGCACCGCAAAGTGGGTCGCAGTGCGTAGCGTTTGAATCATATGCATTGCCGCACTGAACTACGGTATTCTCTATTATTGTAATATTAATAACGTGTCTTTCATGTGATTAAGCCTGTCCTTCACTAAATCTTTTGTTCCAGTGGTGTTTCCTTACAGTGTTAATAACCAGGGCTATGAGCGCTATACAAACTTTATGACAATCTGACAGAATGGCAAATATTATAAGACAGTTTGGAAAACTTATTTTCACACGTGCTGAAAAACTGCAGGATAAAAAAAAAAAATTTAAAACAAATATGTAAAAAATTTGAATTCTTAAAATATAATTTAAAAAAAAAACAAAATTATAGTAAAAAGTTCAGCTTTCATCAATGTAAATAATATTTTGACTTACTAATGTTGATTTAAAACCCCCTAAAAAAAATCCATTTTCCTGTTGGTTTGTGACCACTTCATGTTGAAACACCAATTCCCATATGATCACCAAAGTTAAGCAACATCGAGCCTGATCAGTACCTAGGTGGGTGACTGTTTGAGAATACCAGGTGCTGTAAGCTTGGATGTGCAGTTAATGTAAGGGATAATGTTTCAATTCCAGTTGGATTTGTTATATTTATTTATGTACTAAGACCTTTGGGAAAGGTATAAGTCCACCTTCTCTCCCCAGCTATGGGTTAATTAGTAAAACGTATCGCTAAATCATTATCTCAAAAAAAAAAAACAAATCTTACAATCTAAAAATATTTTCTGGCTTTAAATATCCTGAAAAGGGTTGATAAGTTGTAGAAAATGAATGAATGAATCAATACATTTTTCTGATAACCCTGATCAGTGAAACATATCAAGTTTTCAAAATTGTCTTTATATATATATATATATATATATATATATGTATTTGCGTAAATAAATAGTACTTTAAACAGTGTGTAATACATATACTGGCTTGAGTATTCAAGAAAACTTAAAGAAAATATGCTCTCCAGTAGGGTTTGAGACCACTGTCTGATCTGGCGTGTGGCCTTAGAACACTTGGCCATGAACAACATCACAATCCAGCAAGGTTTTATTTAAGTTTTTGTGCTTGATCTGCCATCCATTGACTCAAATTTATTAGTATCCTCCCCCTCACTTGCTTCTCTTGCCTTCAGCATGTCCTTTGAGTGTTTAAGTCTCTAGGCTCTCTTTCTTCATTATTTATTCTAGAAATTTCAATTCTTTCTGATTGTGTGACCATAAACTACATCTGGCAGCAAGGTCTCTGATTAGAAGTTTTGAGGAGTGTGGAACCATTTCTTAATTGCTGTTATTCCCAGGTCCACCTTGACCCAGGGTAGTAACACCTATGGGTAGATAGTAAAACAAAAACAAAACCCTATGAAAGTATAAAAATACATTTTTATATAAAAAAAAAAAAAATTGCCAACTATAGATATTTATAGTAAAATTACCAGCAATACATTTTTATAGCAAAATGACCAAAAATATATTGAAGGTTAATACAATTACATTCAAATTATATTTACTTGAAGCCATAAAATTGTGTTCAAAATATGTAAATTTTGGCATTAAATGACCCTTAGAGCTTGATATGTGGCTAAACAGAATCAACCAACCAACCAGTATAAAAGATCTCTTTCATGACATTACACCATATAATATCCTACAATTTGTTAAAGAAATCAAATTTTATTCCAAAATATAACTTAACAAAACTACATAAAACACACATATCACCACCTCTAGTAATGTCTACACAAACATGTATATGCACAAAAGCTGAGTACCATCTACCATGTAGTCAATTGTGAAAGCAGAATAACATATATTTTTATTACTTCAAAGCACCCCCAATAAATTAAATTTCAGCATTAAATGACCCATAAGGTGTTGATATGCCGTTAAACAAATAAATCTTTCTGAATGTAAGTATAAACTTCCTTCAATAGTTCCTATTTTATTTAAAACTTATCCTATCTGTAGAATTCTCAGCATTTATTGGTAGAATCAACTCTCTTGTTCTAAGTCTCTTTATCTGGAAGGAGATTGTCTAGCATTCACTGCTATATAGGAAATTAGATACTACATAGCAGTTCTGAACTCTTTTCTTTTTTTCTAGTAATATTTTTCTTTTTCTTAATACCTTGTTTCTGGAAAGTATCTTTTGCTATTTCCTATGCATCGTCAGATTTGTGTCACATTTTTTGTCATCTGTTACTATGCTACCAAGATTGTCAATTTTTTTTGTCTTCTTACCGTTAATAGTTAGTCCTTTCTTCTTGCTTCCCTTTACTGTCTTCTCTAAGAGTTCTTTCACCATTCCTTCTAATTCTGCCACCAACACATTCTGAAAAGTTACTAAAAAGAAATGACTTGTCAACCTTAGCATTAAAACAATTATTTTCCAAGCATTTGGCTTTACAATATCAGCACAATGCAAGCTGTGAATGCTCTTGAAATCAAACTAGATATGAGTGCTTTTATTATAAGCAGATATATTAATATGAAAATGGGCTGTGCATCATATAAGCATTAGAATAAATCTAAAATGGCAATTCTTGAGCACATAAGACACACGTTGTACCAATGCATTTTGGGAGATATCTGGCAAGTAATGTCGACTTGATGGCAGTGAGTGCAGGAATCACATTCCTCTGACTTGTTTGATCTCCAAAAAGGCATTCTTTATTTCAAATGCAGAAGTCATTGACTGCTTTGCTTTATGGTTACCTTCTCTTCCTTAGGAATAAATCAGTTTTTTGTCTTTCCCTCTCTCTCTCTCTCACTGTCTTTCCCTCTCTCTCTCTCTCTCACTGATTATTCTTTCCCTCTCTCTCTCTCTCTCACTGTCTCCCCCTCTCTCTCTCTCTCTCTCACTGTCTTTCCCTCTCTCTCTCTCTCTCACTGTCTTTCCCTCTCTCTCTCTCTCCTCACTTTCCCTCTCTCTCTCTCTCTCACTGATTATTCGTACGTTTCCCTCTCTCTCTCTCTCTCTCTCTTTGTCTTTCCCTCTCTCTCTCTCTCTCTCTGTCTTTCCCTCTCTCTCTCTCTCTGTCTTTCCCTCTCTCTCTCTCTCTCACTGATTATTCGTACGTTTCCCCTCTCTCTCTCTCTCACTGATTATTCGTACGTTTCCCTCTCTCTCTCTCTCACTGTCTTTCCCTCTCTCTCTCTCTCTCACTGTCTTTCCCTCTCTCTCTCTCTCACTGTCTTTCCCTCTCTCTCTCTCTCACTGTCTGTCCCTCTCTCTCTCTCTCTGTCTTTCCTCTCTCTCTCTCTCTCTGTCTTTCCCTCTCTCTCTCTCTCACTGTCTTTCCCTCTCTCTCTCACTGTCTTTCCCCCTCTCTCACACACACACACACTCTCTTTATCTCTATACACATACAAAATGTGACCCTAAAGATTTTCTCCAAGATCTAATCTTTATGAATTAAATTAATTAATCTGCTTTTTATTTTGCAATCAATAATTCTTCGTATTTCTCACTTTCACAAAACTAAACTGCTACTCATAAAAAGAATTTGGATTCCCAATGAGAGCAAAACAAAATTCCTATCATTCCTCTGCATCTGAGGTAGGCATGAGCTCAATTCTCCCTCTGCTTTGTCCTATTGCCAGTCATTATAATCATGAACTAGTTATATTACAGTGCAGATGTTAAGATCCTTATCAGCTTAAGCAATACACGAGTTAAGTGTATTTAGTCATGACTGATCATTTCTATTGGATTAACTGAAAGATTTTGTTTTTGTTATATGATCCAATTAGGTGACCAAAATGACCTAATTTTATTGCAACATCTGCTGGCTCGTGTTGGTTTTGTGTGTGTGTGTGTGTATATATATATATATACACACACACACACACAGCAATATCACATTAAAACATTAGTTCTTGTGTGACCACCAAAGTTAAGCAATGTTGAAACTGGTCAATATGTAGATGAGTGACAATTTGAGGGTACCAGGTTCTGTATGTTTGGATAACAGGTTGGAATGATAAATCAGAGAGCTGAGTTTGAATTCTAGTCGAGTTTGTCACATTCATTTATGCACAAATTGCCTTGAGAAAGGTATGCGTCCATCTCTTCTCTCTCCAGATATGGATAAATAGGACAAACTGACAACCAGTCTAGGAGAAGGAAAACTCTAAATTGAAACCAGTTTATAAGCCAACATGCAGCTAGATGGAAAATTCCTATCCAAAATAAAGCCAGCAATTTTAGCATTATCTGACATGTGGCACACAATGCACCCGTGGTAGAGGACATGGTGCTATGGAGATTATCTGACATGTGGCACACAATGCATCCGTGGTAGAGGACATGGTGCTATGGAGACTGCATTGCAGGGAACAGGCAATTAACCACCTTAAAAAATTCACTTGTGCAGGTTGTTCACTAAACCCTCATCTGTTGTTCTTGATGTAGAATCCATTTCATATATAATGTGAAGAGAATAATACCTTTGCTACGGGAGTTTTACCCTTTTCAATAAGGGTTCTTTTGACCATATCTCTCAATCACTAATATATACACACACACACACACAAACACACAATTTCTACTCTAGATTTTCATAGATGAACCTTTTTTGTAATTTGTTTGGTCCACTTGTCAGGAAATATTGGTAAATATCTGCTTATTTTCTCGTTTTTGTTATTTTTATTAAGTTAAAAAATAATCTGTGCTTTTTTTTTTTTTTTTTTTTTTTTAATTGATGTGAGTTTTTTTTTCTTTGTGTGTGTGTGTGTGTGTCTTTATGCCTGTACATGTGCACGCATGTAGGATTTTTTGGGGGGTTATTTTTTCTTTTCACAACTTACTTCCCTCTCTATACTCCCCACCCCAAACTTCCCCATTTATCTTTTGGCTCTGTCAAAAGATAATGTAATACTGTTAATGTTACAGGAAAAGATGTCTTAAAATTAGGTTAATATTCCAGAGGGGTTCTAAGGTTTTTCAAAATACATGTATATTATGTTCTTTTGTTTTTTTTTTTTTTTTTTTTTTTTTAAATAATTATTCTTTTTTTTAATTTTGAATAATGCTTAAATAGCAAAAGAAATATTTGTTTATATGTCTTCACTTGCATATTTCTTCATTTTTCTTGTTTAGTTGTTAATTGTTTTACCTGCCTTGGTGTTACTGTTATGTTATTTTATTAAGCTGTTTATTATAGAAGGTTAGGCTAGGTAGGTGTATTTTATTTATCATTGTTATATATATATATATATATATATATATATATATATATATATATATATGCACAGTACTTATTGGAAAGTGCTCAGTATTAGCGATAGAGCTAACATATTCAGTTATGGATATGTGTTTGTGACCCTGGGGTTTCATGCTTTTGCAATTATCAAAATGATTTATTTTTTAAAAATTGAATCTATTTATGCTTGTTTGTCTTTGATTATGTTTGGTGGTGGGAGGAGGGAATTCTCTGTGCTGCAGATATACGTCCATGCTTTGAAGCATACATATGGATGTGTATCTGCACCTAATCTGGGATTGTTTATATGAGTGTGTTTGTGTGAACTAAAATGCGTAC